AGGGAGGGCAGAGGGGGGTTCCCGGGTAGGGGTGCTTGGAAGGTTCGGAGAAGACCCCGACAGGCCCCCCACCGCCGCCGCCAAACTCCGGCGTCCAGCGTGTGGGCCCTCTGGAGGACGACGGGGCCTGAGCCCACCCCGAGGAGCCGGGCAAGATCAGGCTCAGCAGCCATGGTGGGGTGGGCCGAGCCCTCCCCCTGGTCCAGGAGAGGCCAACCCAGGCCCCCCCATGCCCCTCAGAAAGGGAGGGCTCCCCTCCTGGTGAATTTCTAGGGAAGGGGTGAGGAATATGCTGTTCACCCAGCCTGAGGTGGCCAGGGAGGTGGCTGGGACCTAAGTAGGGGAGCCTTGAGTACAGCCGCCTGGGGGGACTTTGCGTCCTGGGCACGTCCAGCGACGTGGCCGCGGCACACCAGGCAGCTCCGTGGCAAAGCCCCAAGTTGGCGCTCAGCCTCAAGCACGGCTGTGGCTGAAGCAAGATGAGCAGGACAGAGTAGGAACAGTTGGGGAGCAGAGGAGCTCGGGGCCAGCTGGAGACTAGTTGGGTCCCGGGGTCCACAGGACACCCAAATTCATGTGGTTCTACTGCTCTGAACTCCAGGAATTCAGAGAGGATGCTGAGAGCCTGGCAAAGGCCTGGAGATCGTCGAGGATTTCACAGCCACCTGCCTTGACTATTGGACACAGGCCCCGCCACACCTTGGCGCTGGTCAGTGCAGACAAGCCAAACAAGTAACGACTCACAGCTGCTGGCCAGGGCCGGGGAGCAGCACTGGGAGGGGTTCTTGGGTGCTGCGTGCCACTGGGTGTTTGCTGGGGCGGGGGGCTCTTTCACGAATGCATGCACAGCGCCCGTGTGTGCGCCCGGGAAGGGGGCAGAGCAAACCAGCCTCTTGTGCAGCAGTGATGAGCCGCTGTGCAGTCCGCAGGCACCAGCTTCCGAGAGGGAGAGGTGCAGGCTGGCCAGTGTTCAGGCAGCAGCCCAGAGGCACAAAGCCGGCGCCACCCCAGCCCCAAGGCTCAGGCCCCAGAGACTGCATCCCAGACTTGCTCATTGCAGCAAGAAATAAGCCAGGTAAAAGCACTTTCCGAGGAAAACCGGTCTCTGATGAATAGAACGGATAATTACAACTAGAGCAAAGTAGGTCACTTGGGAAGTAATTAAAAGCTTTCCATCCAAAATGCCGAAACTTTTCTTAATTTTTGTTCTGCTGAAAATTAACCCTTGCTCTCTGCCCAAGGCTGGGAAAATGTGGTATCTTTTGAGAGGAACAAAAACCAGAGCTTACTGGGCACAGACTAGGCCCAGAGCTGCTGACCCGCAGAGCAAGCCGAGCTGTGGGAAGCCCCTGGGCGTCCAGCCCACCTGTGCACAGAGCTCTGAGGCAGAAAACAGAGGTTGTGCTGGACTGGCAGCTGGTAGAACACAGATGTGTCTCTCCGCCACTCGCAGCCCGAGGGCGCACCAGCTGAATGCCCCAGAGGCTGAACAGCCCCTAGGGGTGCAGAGAGTCTGGGAAACCGAGGGGCAGGAACAGGGATTTCCCCACAAAGGCCAGCGAGACGGAAGTCCTGGGACTCGGGGACAGACAGAGAAGCAGCAGCCAGAAGGCTGCCTCAGGGCCCCATCTCAGGAGGACTGTGGGGTGAAAG